CGTAAGAGTAGCCTAGAGTCTTTATCGTTCCTTCTTCCTGCTTAGCCTTGTCTGTTGAGTTCAGAACACCAATCTCAGCCCCCGCAATATGAATCGTGTATTCCAAACTTACTGGGTTTCTATACAAATCAAATAGATCACATCGTACCATAAAATAGGAAAAAACGTTTGTAGGAGATCTAGCCAAAAGTGGCCATGGATGTGGGAGACTGTAATTAATAGACTGGGCATAACTCAGAAATGGTATAGGATATAATAATAGTCTATAGGTTAAAATAAAGCTTATAATGAGAAGAATACAGATATGCATAACGTATCTATTTAGCAATTATACAATAAGAATATACGTATAGTATTACTCCAGAAATGGTTTCCAACAGTTACCATTATTATTCTCGTCAGGATATAACAGTTTATTTTGCGTGATGTATAAGTATAACAATTCTAAAGTCACAATTTAAACTTAACCATAAATTTCCGTTCATTACTAGAAAGTAATTTGAACGGTATCAGCAAATCATTGTTTGCATTTGCTAGAATCAATATTTACTGTAAAAATCATATTCCTGTATAATATAACTGCTTATATACAAAGATGGATAGTGACTAGCAATGGAATCCAGGATGCGCGTTTCGTCCTTTCTTTGAATATAATGCTTCTGAATTAAGTCAATAACGAGGTAGTTAGCACAGGATGCACATATCCCAATAAGAGACTGATCACGTGCAGTCCTAAACTTCAATGAGAAGATTCAAGTAAACAATATCAAATGAATCTAAACTTCACACCATTGCACAAGCGAGTGGTTGTCAGGACTCTGTAGCTAAGTGGATAACGAGATGGCGTTTGAAGCGAACGCTATTGGGTTTGAATCCCGGAGTGAACACCAACTCTGAGGTGCAGGTATATCCAACTGACGAGTCTCAAACAGGACGAAAAGCGCGTCTTGGATTCCACTGTTAGCCACTATCCATCTTTGCTTATAGTGCTTGTGATTTAAGACGATACACACAGTATGCACATATTCCAATGAGAGACTGATCAATTACAGTCTTAAACACCAAGTAAACAATACCAAGTGAGTTTACTCCACACATTCAGTGGAAAAATAGGAGGCCAAAGAACACAATATTGATAATCCATAATTATTATCTGCCTGTGCAATGGAAATTCTTTCCTAATCCAAGAAGTAACTGAATTCTCACTTTCAACTTGTCTCATGGTATTCTTTCATCGTAACGATAAATGAGGCAGAATCAATGTTGCGGCCTCAAAGCCTCTGCCAGCAATTTGAGGAAGATTTACTAACTTTCGTCTTCATTGTTGATGATATCATTTAGACCATCGTAACTCTTTGTTACCGGTTTTCTGATTGAATAAAGTGGATAAAACTACTCTAAGTCACTTCAACGGTCGCTCAAGGACGTTAGTATAGTGAAGGTTTACTGTATGTGTGTAACTTTCTATGGCATTGGATGTTATATCACGTGTATTAAAGTTTATGTTCATCATGTGAACAGCCCTTCTAAATGTAAAACTGTTAACTTAAGCTTAAGAGATGAAAATGACATAGATACCCTGTTTGAATCGCGTGACTTTTGTACTATTTCAGGATTCTCAATAAAAACAACGTCTCATGTCACATGTGTGAACTTAGCCTTATTCCCTAACAATCAGGAGATTAGGACTTATCTCCCCAACAGTCATAGAACTGTAAACTGCGTTAATAAATTGAGACAGTAAACATCTGTTTGATGGATATTGGTTTTAATTAGGATCTACTTTAATATCGTTGGTAAATATCTAAATTAAGTTATTTGAAGCAAGATCCTGAAACACAACACAGAGAACAGCAAATCGATCACACTTGATGGAGAAACTCTGGAACAGGTGGAAAATTCCACGTACGTGGACAGCATTATCGATTAACAAAGAGGATCTGATGAGTATGTGAAGGCACAGATTAGCAAAGCAAGGACAGCATTCTTACAGTTGCAGAACATATGGAACTCAAAACAACTGTTCGATCCTCCTTGTTAATCTATAATGCTGTCCAGGTTTGTGAAAGATTCCACATCTTCCAAAATTTCGCCATTAAGTGTGATTGGGTCGGTATTCTCCGTGCTGTTTTTGAGGATCTCGCTTTCACCTTTGTGTATGTTGGGGCCTACTGATACAGAGACTGCTGCTACACTGGTTGTCTTCATCTGCATTTATTCGTGTGTATGGGATAGGAGAGCTAGGTCATCTGCGAAGTCCAAATCGTCTAACCACTTCTGAGCTGTCCATTGTATTCCGTGCTTTCCCTCAGATGTTGAGGTTTTCATAATCCAGTCAACCACCAGATGAAAAAGGAAGGGAGAGATTAAACAATCTTGTCTTACTCCGGTCCTTATTTGGAATCCATCTGTCATCTGGCCTCCATGCACCACTTCGCACTGTAGTCCATCGTATGAGTTCCTCCGGATAATGTTGATAATCTTCTCAGGAACTCCATAGTGTCGAAGAAGTTCTCTTGTCCACACTGTCAAACGCCCTCTCATAGTCTATAAAGTTGATGTATAGTGATGAGTTCCATTATCATTAACTTACAAATCAGTCTCATATATTTCATAAAACTGTATATTATAAAACCTAATGACAATCTCATTACAACAACACTGTTCAACTGTTCATAATCCGAAGTACGTAGAGAAATCAAAGGATCAGTAAACAAAAGTTGATTATAACTTGAACAAGCTAGAAAATTCTTAGTTAATATTAGCTTTTTTACATAAAAAGATTTCTTGTTAATTATAATGATTGACGCCTCATAACTGTTTACATCATTGAAACCAATAACTCAGAAACCTTGAAAAGTACATTGTACGATGTACACTGTATGTTACGTCAGACAAAACCTAATCCGGGTTTATAATTTTTATTGTCGTGTGGGTTGAACAAATGAGTTTATTAGGTTAGATGCTTGTATCTATGTGTAAATACTAATAAAACAATCCAAAGATGAATTCAAAGTAAAATACCATACACTACTGTAATAATGTCGGAACTGTTTTGACAGACAAAAACAACCGGCTTTATGAAATAATAATATTTTAGTTGGATTCATTACGTCAAGAAATGGAGACAGACATTAGAAGAATGAAAAACAATTGAATAGAACTAGAAAGGAAGGCTCAGGATAGATTGGGTTGGAAAATGATGGTTAGTGGCCTATGCACCAATGGGAGTAATAGATGTAAGTAAGTCGAATTCATGAATCAATGTAAGCCCGACCACCAGTGAAAACCTGGAAGCACTAAATTCAACTATTAAAATTACTACAATCTCCACAAACCCCATTCTGATCATAATCATTATGTGTTCACTAGTGACAGGTTTCAAGATGACTTCTTAGAGTTCTAGTGAGAAGCCGTGACTAATGGAGTCCAATCTGTGTCAGATAGAGACAGATATCTACCTCAGATAATAGATGAATGGTTGAGCAGTCATTTATGGATCGATGGAAGTTAGACATTAACAACACTGGATACCATCTCAGTGATCTCGAGATTAAGCTTTTGTTGCGCGAGACCAAAGGTCCTGAGTTCGAATCTCGCAAGCGGGATCGTTGGACGCGCACTGTTGAAGTGTCCTATACTAAGATGAAACAGCCATCCAGTGCTTCCATGTTTTCGATATTGACCTAGCTTACATCAACCATTAAAACTGCTAGTTTCCACAAACCTCCACTCTGAAAACAACGTTATATTTATCCTATATACTATGGAATAATAAATGTCTGATGACCTATCTACCTGGTCACATGACTATCCAGACTGACTAGGCTTATGTGGGTGGTCTTCCGAATGACTTTTGATTGGACAATTATGAATATACATTTTATCAACCAATAATCTTTTAACATATTATAATTAACATTGAATTAAGCAATTATCATTGGACAATCTAAAATTCTAAGTTTTATTGTTGAAGGTCATGGACATAATTTTCACACGATTGGTGAATATTTTAACCTTGAAAGGATGATTATTTGAAAAAAGAAACAATCTGAAACACATTCAGTATATGAATCAAAGATTCTTTGTTTGTTGATCTAGTGTTTAGTGCTTAGCTTTCTTCAATTAAATTATGTTAATATTTGTCCGTGGTTTATCTGGTACAGTCACACCTCTTAATTTGAGTCCTCATGACAGTGTATTGTCTATAAAAATAAGGATATTTTACTTAAAAAGTAAGTTGTTTGCTTGTGAACTTTGATATATTTTTTTCATGTACTTAGATAAGATTCTATTTCATGCTAACCTGTTTTGTCATTGAATTCTATGTAGTTGTCTGTTTCATATAAACCAAATTTGTTAGTTTTTTGAGATTTATTCAATGAGGAGAAAAGTTCCGATAGCGATCTGATTATCCATACGATTTTAGTGTTCCATCGTTGTTGGTGAGACTATAATTTATGGACGACCTTTGAGCGGTGCTAGATTGACTTAGAGTGTCCACCTAGTAACCATGACCAAATAGGGATTGTGAACCTGTGGAGAGAATTAGAATTATGGTTTACAGTTGATGATTAAGGTTAGGAATTAGATTTAGGGTTTTCATCACGAACTAACATAAGCTATGATGAGTGAATTTCGCATCAAAATCCGAGACCTATTATCTTATACCTGATTGATTCGTCTATAAATTATAGTCTTGCCATGAAATTCATTAGTCTAGCCTTTTACTGTCAGAAGATCAAGTCTATCATTGGCCGATGGGGTAATGCAGCGAGTTTTTCTGATATTGAATTGTCAGTTATATCGGTTAGTAATCCTTAATGGTAACTTAGTAGTAGGGCTGAATTATAAGTACTAGCATGGACGAGTCATTAAAAGTTTGACAATATCTTGATCCGTTCAACAACTCATCAAATCACATATATAAGTGATTTATAACTGAGATTTATGATAGCGCAACGTTGATTAGTTGAAAATAAGATTTGGATTGTGACAAGATGTTGATCAATAACTACAAAGCCTTTACAGGTAATTAGCTCTTAACTTCCATAATTCCGCCCCCAAATGCTCGGCCGACAGTGGGGAGAGTCCGCTCACCCTCTCGGAACGCTCTCACACGGCCACACATATATAGCGTCTGCCAGGGAAGTCCTACTCGCTGCCTTCTAGCGGCATTGCGGTTTACGAAATTGACAGGACGAAAAGCGAATGTCCGGCGCTTCAACCGGGTTCGTAGACACAGAGGGTCTACGTTGGGGAGTTGGAAAACCCTGATTGCAAACCAGTGGTGCACACGGGTTCCAGGATCCTGATAGAGCAAATAGCGTATGAACCTGTTGCTGGTCACCGGCTACTATGGGACTGCATCTCCTGATGTTGCTCTACTGTCTTGTGGATTAGGCTTTTAGGCCGAAGGCTCCGGGTGTGGTGTCCCCTAAGAAAACTACCTGCTACGGTTTGGGCACCCAGACAGTATCTTATCTTAAAAATGTTCTAAGTAAATAATCTAATTTCAATAGTTGAGATCATGAGTCAATTAAAGCTAGACCACCATGGAAAACCTGAAGCAGTGGATGACCGTTTCGCTCTATTATGGGACTCCTCAGCAGTGCACATCCATGAGAATTCATACGTAGCCGGAATCGTGTATCCATCTTGAAATTATTTCCTATTTTTCAGAGGCAATTAAATTGCTCAAAGTTGTAAATATGAGTGGATCTCCTAGATACTGTAATAACGTCACCATATTGTCTAGTCTACCTTTTTTTACGAACAAATAAGTTTAGTTTCTTTGAGAGTTACTGCAAGTGCTAATTCGTTTCACGTTTGTTTATTTTTTTCTGAACATCATTAGATATATCTGTTCACGACCAACACTTATTATACTCTGGTGTTGAATTAACAGACCAAACAATTCTGTCTACTGTAAATATTGGACATGGCGCTTTATTACTTCTTGTCTTAGGATTAAGAACTGGACCATTAGGTAGATATGATTTATGCACATCAACCAATCAAAAATATTCCAATAATGACATTTCATCACAGTCTACTAATAATAATAATGACGAAACGGAATATACACGATTGTTGTCTCTCTTGTCATCCTCCTCTTCTTACCCATCCGTGTCATCATCATCAGCAGCAGCGCCAACTGTCGTTTTTCCATCGATATGTGTAACAGCTGTTGTCAATGCAACTAAAATAGCATCAGATGAATTAGAACAAACTGAAACTAATCTACTAATGAATTCATTTGAATCCTATAATGACAATAATGATGACACTATTAATTCTAATTGTTTCACATCATCAGATGATGAAATTTATCGAATTGCTGAAGTTCTTGGTTATGCTATTGATAACAATGAACAGTTGTTATCACCTTCATTATATGATTTTCCTACAACAGTAACGGACGAAAGTCAATTATATGACTATGATAATAATGATATTGATGAGACTGATATTTATTATCATTATGAACAGTCGTTTACTCCACCTCAACAATTGAGTTGGGTAATAACACCAAGTTATGTAAGTTTTTGAAGTGTTTTTTTGTGGTTGGTATAATTTAGATTACTTAAAACTGTTGTGTTGTTCAGTGTTTGATACTGATATTTATACCCAAGCTCCTTGTACAGGAGTGAGGACGAATTTTTTATGGGCTAACCGAGCTTATATGTATGCGTACTGACCTATTCATAATACATATATATCTTCACTAATGATGTACATCTCCTTCCTTGGAAATTCAAGACACTTCTTGACCAATCACATGCACTCGTCATTTGGGCGATTTTTGACTGACCCAATGTATCATCTTTCCTTTTTAGAAAAAAAATAGGTCAGGCTTTTCGGATTTAACTGAAGGCTTAGGACACAAACCTTTTTAAATATGACTTAATATTAATCATGGAAAAGTGTCACCCAGCTATTAGCTGTAATCAGAAAGCAATAGACAAGGTGTCATTTCTAAAGTTGTGACTGAAGAATATTTTGTGAAATTCAAAGCTTCTTTTTTAAAATGTGTCTCTTACATTTTTACAGGATTAGTCGGTTTCAGAAAGCTGACTTACGGAAAATGATTTCATACACATAGATTAAACGATGTCATGTTTGTTCTAGTCTGTAATGCCGATCATATTCTGTCTACCGACTTCGCGATTTGACCACTTATCTATGTGACTTAACATTGCGTGCACTGTGTTTTGATGTTAGGGGGCTAATCACATTGTAACTTAACCGATATAATTAGATTTGGCTAAAATCCGGAACAAACATGACGCTAATTACCTGACCACTTAGTGATTATTCAATCTAAATATTTCATTTCTATATCGCTACCCGAATAGCTCACTGTTTATGTCTGACTGAGAATTTCATAGAAAGCATTAGTTCTCTGAATGTTGCCTGATATATGCTACTTCTATTGTTACTACTGCTACCCTGGGTTTTGTCTTGATAGTTTCATATCACAGTACTGATATAGTGTGGCAACTTGAACCGGTGTACATTTGTACCAGGTCCTATGTTGCTTTTAATTGACCTACTCAGGTCGAACTAATACGAAACTTATTTTAAGAGAAGTGATTTCTTTCTGATTCCCTTCAACCGGTTAACATCGAAATGTGAATTAATAAGTAGTTGGAATAACTGTGGGAAGCCAGTTGATTCATGTTCAAATCATCATCACTGCCAATAATTAGTTTGTTGTGTTGTGTTTTTTTCTTCTAAATAAACACCAGAATTCATTTATCCATATGTTTGTGTACAAGTTAGAACTCAATCAACACTAAGAATTACTCGACATACATGAAATTAGTCACTATTCAATGGTTAATCAATTGTAAATATATCTCATTCTTGCGGGTGGCCATTTACAGCCCTAATAGCTCAGTTGTAACATCTCTGATTGTGAACCTTGGTGGCACGGGATCGAATCTACCAGGGAGGATCAGTTCTTTTAAGATTATAAGTATACCTTGCTGATGAGAAACAAATATTACAAAACCTTGGTTGTGTAGGGTTTCCTGTCGACTACCTCCAACCGCTATTACCTTATTTCTCAACATTGTGCACACTATTCGAATCAATTGACTAATTGCTTGCAACTTGGTAGATAAAATTCAATTAGATCTTAGAAGTACTTGACATGAATAACAAATCGGTTACTACCGAGTGATCAATCAATTGTAAATACAAATTAAAACATGTAGATTTCTTATTTTCTACTTCCTATTCAGAATTCCACACAACAATTAAACATACCAGAAACCAATTCATACGAATTATGTGATAATATCAATTCAAACAACAATTCATTTCAATATATTCATGGATTTAAAACTATTGAAACACCTTCTAAACATTATCAATCAACTGATTCGTTATTTGATAAAACCAATACATCTACTTCTACTACTACTACTACTAGTAGTAGTAGTAGTAGTACCAATAGTGTTATCATGAATTCTTCCTATGATCAATTGAAAGATAATTCAATCTTTTCTTCTCTAAAAGAAGAATCATATTTATCTTCACCGAATATAAATGTTATAGTCGATAATGATAATAATAGTAATAATAATAATAGTAGCAATAATAACCATTCTATTGTTGATGCCAAAAGATCTACACGTAATAATGATAAGGCAGCTGCTATGATTGTTCACAATGATGATGATGATTTTCATTTGGACAGACATTATTCCAATTCAAATACTATTCCTTTATTGAATACTACTACTAATACTACTACCAATACTACTACTATTACACATCTTCCTATTTCATCCGGTGATAATTCTATCATACAATTATTGAATAATTCAACTATTAATTTCATTAATAATCCATTAATTATCAATCATTTTCAATCATTAATTAATTCACCTTGTTCATATTCATTTTATTTAATGATGCAAATGAAATTATTATGTAATAATCAATTTCATTCAAATGAATATTTATTTAATTTAATACCAAATAATAATAATAATAATACTATTGTTATGAATAGAAGAACATCATATACAAAGTAAGTAGTGTATTACTTAAATAAAATAAACTGGTTAAATAGAATAGATGGAATGCAATTAATAGTAGATAGAACCTGGGACTCGTCAGCTGATGAGTGTATTTGGATCTGAAGGTTTATATATTCACTTCAGGATTTGAACCCATTCACAAGCTATTTGTAAGCAATGATGGATAGTGGCTAGCAGTGGAATCCAAGATCCGCGTTTCGTCCTATATGGGATTCGTCAGCTGGATGTACCTGCATCTCAGAGTTGATGTTATTCATTTAGCTACTGAGTCCTGATAGCTACTTGCTTATGCAATGGGGTGAAGCTTAAATTCATTTGGTATCGCTTAATTGAACCTTCTCATTGATGTTAAGGACTGCGATTGATCAGTCTTTTATTGGAATGTCTGCATGCTGTGTGTATTGCCTCGATATATCCTTAAATCACAAGCATTATAAGTAAAGACGGATAGTGGCGAGTAGTGGAACACAGGACGCGCGTTTCGTTCTATTTGGGACTCGTCAGCTGGATGTACCTGCATCTCAGAGTTGATGTTCACTCCGGGATTCATATCCAGTATCGTTCGCTTTAAACGCCATCACGCTATTCACTTAGCTATTGAGTCCTGATAGCCATCTGCTTGTGCAATGGGATGATGTTTAAATTCACGTGATGTTGTTTTACTTGTATTTCTCCACTGCTGGCCACCATCCATCTTTGCTTTAAAAAAAGCTTGTGACTTAAAGCTATATCGAGGCAATCCGCACAGGATTAACATATGCCAATAAGAGACTGGTCAATTGTAGTCTTAAATAATAATGGGAAGATGCAAGTGAAACAACACCAGTACCTTTTGTTCCAAACACCAATACGTTATACACCTTACAACTCTGAGATGCTGACATATCCGGCCAACAAATCCCAAATGAGATGAAATGTACATCGTGGACTTCACTGGTAGTCATATTCTATCAATTCTGTATAAACTTGTATCACAATGGTAATATCAAGGCAACACGCACAAGACGAACATATACCAACTATAAGACTGGTCAAAATTCATTCTTGAATATCAACAACATGATGATACAAAATCATTACGAATTAAATTAAAAGGGTGGATTTAAACGCAACGTTTCCACGTAAACCTAATATATCGCCTGATGTAATAACGGTCATGTCTACGTTCATGTAGTCATAAAATTTGTCATATTATGATGTATTTATTATTAAAGAAATAGATTGTGCTGTGAATTTTGCTCTGGTTGTAATTTTTATTCGCTACTTCCAACTGTGTTACATCGGACATGCACTGCATGCTGGAATGAGTAGCTGCAGCAAACAGGGCTGATTCAATGAGAACTTGCGACAACACTTAGAGTATTACACTAACCTCCGGATTTCAGCACACTGAAACATTAAATTGTGTAGCTACACAAAAGAAACTGCCGGAAAAATCAGAACGAGGAAAGCCGACCGCCATTGTTTACAAAGATGGCGGATATAATAATTCCCGCTTCATTCTGATTGGTCGCTAATCAAACTGCTACGATTACGAAATCGAGTTGCGTTTAATTGCAGCCAATTAAAACGAGTTAAATGTTCATTGTTCTATTTTGATAAAAATTACTAGTTAAGTATAGGATTTACAACATGAGTAAATAGTTCATTTCGAATTGCTTTCTTTGTGAAATATCTTGAAAACGGTTAAACTTTGTACAGTTCCACTGTTTATTTTTTTGTTAGTGTCCTATTTTTTCCTCCTGTATTGAATGAGAGACCATGATGATCTATGTCGTTTGAATCTTGTAACACTTCTCTACCCCACACTTACTAGTTTGTCTACAGTCTCGTGTCCTAAACTTTGACCAATGATATGCCTCAACTGACTGAGATAATCGTAACGCCTGTTTATCAGGAATGCCGTTTTCTCACGATCACTTGAATAATAGCCAGAATAGAACAGAACAACACAGCAGGCAAACAAATTTCCATTGTACAATGCAATTTGATGATTCAACTCCATAAAATAGTAATAGAAAGTAAAGTTTTAACCACATATCAAGGTAAATAAGAGATCTCAATATAGAAATAACTACGCCTTAATTAGAAGAGAACCAAGTGATAGGTCCGTAATTAATTGACAATAACTTGAGAAAAGTAGAATATATAACAATAGTTTATGCGCCAAACAAAAGCTTACAATTAGGAGAATGCAAACATACAATACTTCAAGTAACCCGTATTTATACAGAGGAAATGTGAACGATAGCTTCACGTAGCACAGTTTCCCAAATTACTGTCATAAACTGACCACTTCTCCGCTTTTTCTATCCATTCATAGTTTGTCAAATAGTACGTGATATGTAGGTATCATTGCCAAAGTTTGATTTGAGAATTATAGTACGTGGTATGGTTTCCGCTCAGGTATATTAAAGTTATTGTAAATTTTGAGGATTAGCGTAGTCAGTGAGTAAACCATAAATCATAATCTTTGTCCTTTTTATTTAAGATCATCGATATTTATATATGAGCTGTGATACTAAAAGCGAGCTAGATGTTTTTCTTAAGAGACTACGCCATTACTTTTAATCTTAAGTTTCTCACCCCACAAGATTTTAAAGGCTATTTGTACTATTAGTTTGGAATCTGTTTTCGAATTGCCATAGCTGGATCTTACTTATCCAACAACTTATTTCATGCGCACGAAATTGGCTCCCTCCTTTTACTTTTTTAAAACGTGTTGAAAGAGGGAGTAGGAGTTCTCTGAAGAGGTTATGAATATGCATTCGTTGCAAGGAGAGAGAACTCTCCCCCACCCTCATACATATTAGAGTATTTGGGAGCAGCATCTGGATACAGACTCTATGAGGAAAGTTATAAACACATTTGTTATCATTTGATAAATGTCTTACATTGTTGACTTCTAGTGGTCTCTTTCTTAAAGACCAAAAAAGTAATCTCTTTATAGAAATGTATCATAAAAGTTAATAATTAGTTCACCAACTAACATACCACAAGCTTGATGGATGTTACTGAAAACCTGAAAGCACTGAGTCGATTCATGATCTTGCACAACTATTCATCTATTGTCTGAGGTGGATAACTATCTCCACCCAACACGGATTGAACTCCACTGGTCACAGCTTCTCACTAGAACTCCAGGAAATCTATCTTGGAGCTAGTTACTAGTGAACTTGTATCGACTCATAACTTCAACTGTTAAAATACTAAAATCTCCACAAATTTCTATCTAATTTTCTATTATATTTAACAGCAAAACTTTCGAATCACCATTGGATCAAAATTATCTTCCACAAATCACTAAAAGTCATTCCAATCATTTAAATAACAATGAATATAATATTACTGAAAAGTTATTAAATGATACTAGACGACATAACAGACAAACAGAATTCAACTTGGACTGTAATGATAATGATGATTTGCGACAAATGTGTTTATCGAATACTACCATTGACAGATCTTCATCACATTCTCTTCAGTCGTTATCATCGTCGTCTCCTTCATCATCATCATCTTCCTCTTCTTCTTCTTCCTCCTCTTGTAATACAACTATACATTCAAATCAGTCCAGATGTTATGAGTGCAATAGACGAACCCGATTAGCTTGCGGTTTTACCTGTCGGTAAGTTATATGTTATATGACAAACAATACAATCTTTAGTACACTTCAATATATTTTACATTATAATGCTTATTATGGAATTTTAATCAACTGATATTGAAGTTACACCTACCAACTGTTTGTTAACACCTTAAAGTTTTCATCTTATATCAGTTATTATATGCGTATAGCTCTAAGCAGATGTCCTTGACAACCGTTGGGTTGGATTGATAAATGCCACTAATCTTACCACTTTTAAAAATTAGATAGACTGACCTCAAATGCACTAGTACGACCGGGCGTGTGAAGGGTCCACTGTCCCTCTCGAAATGCTCTCATATGTCTATGTGCATACAACCACTGACAGGGAAGTCCTACTCACTACCTTCTCGCAGCATTACAGTTGTTTACGAAATTCACAGAACTGAAAGCGAATATCCAGCGCTTTAATCGGGTTGGTAGATATGGAGGATCCACCTAGAGTTTCTCCTTGTACTAATATTTACGTGTTTAAATAAACAAAAATTAAATAGAGAGTATTTATTGTCACTGTTATTATGATTACTCCTTTAACATATGCGCCTTATAGTAAAGACGTTTTAAGTAGTAAGAACGCATTTAGATATGGAACAAAGCTAGTTAGTCTTCAAGTAATTAATGAGTTTGGCACAGGTAAATGCAATTTATACAGATAAAGAGAGTAGTAAGGATTGGTTCCGTCCCATATTGAGTGATCCATTGTTCTCTCAACTCATCTGTATTTTAAGATTTTTACTAAACTGTAATTCGCATCACAGAAAAATGGCTTTAGCTAGAGATTCACTAAAAATCAGGAAACACTGAGTTGTTTCGTCCTAACATAAGGATTTTCAGCAACGTACATTGCTTTGATTTTCGGTCCGATTCAAGCACTTCCTTATGCCTCTCCCAATCGGTTATATAGAAGTAAACAGACCTAGAATATGTAGGAAACTTTATCCCAAAAATCAAATAATTATGTACATGAATCATAGCTATATATACATAATAATGGAGTGATTCAGACAAATATATACATGGAAGATACCACGATCTCTCTTTGTATGACCCAATTACTCTTATTTCTTAGTATTCTTCAGACACTTCATTCAACTAGTCTCTAAATCAGAACACTTTTAAACAAGAATAAGATTGTATTCCAAATAAACAAAGCAAATTGGAAGTAACAATCATAGTGAGAAAAATGTTAGTAAATTTGAAATCTATACACAAGAATATTCTGGAATCTTCATCTGTCTGACTACGTTTTAGCTAATCACCACACCCCGACATTTTCCTGCGTGGAAAGTGATCTAATCTAACATATGGTCTGCTAACAGGAGGTGACCTTGGTTAGGTGGATATTATAATTCCTCATAATAGTCTTCCCACACTTCCATTTCTCATTCACTATATAACCTTTCGATAGAAGATGATATGGGCTGTTAAGGATCGAGGACAGTTAGGTCACACGTTAAGTGCATTGCCTTTCAACCAATAAGTTTCCATCCAATAAGGTTTAGATTTTTAGCTTTAATCAATTTACAATCCTTTGAATAACTTCACAGCTACAATTTCCACATCATTTTTATTTAGAAATACATAAGCCACCATTTTTGCGTATTCTCAACCAAAAACTGTATGGATTCTCACGTTAGCTTAGTCTGGAAATAATAATAATGATATATCCTGATCTGACAATAAGGCGCCTTTCATATCGTATCTCTCTCATAAAATGATGCTTCATTTTGATGTGAGTTATAAGGTTAGGCAGTCGTAATCGTACATTTATACATATCTCAGTGTAACCAGTTGGTGATGTAATAGGGCTAGCTGTGTGGAAGTATAACTTGTGGGACTATCATACGAAAGATTATAATTTACATTTCTCTGTTTCGAAGCTGTCGTTTAACTCAAACCGTTGTCACATATCTCATTGTCATAGATTTATCATGAAGTATTTATTTTCATAGTTTAAATCACGAACTGATTTTAAACAAACATTGAAAACCTGGAAATTACTGTACAGCTGTTTCGTCCTAGTGGGCATCTATGCTCGTATATCATGGGACCATCGAGTAAGTAACACAGTTGTTAGGAAACGGGTACTGGGTAAGGATGGCAAATCAATAGAAGTAGCGGAACTTCATCAGTTGAGATGGCTAGGACACGTGTTATGTATGCCCAACGACCGACTGCCTCGAAGAGCGATGTTCAATGGTATAGGAGTAGGTTGGAAGAAAGCTAGGGGTGGCCAGACCAAAACATGGCACAAATCCATGAAGTCACTGACAAGTGGACTGAGTCATGTTGATAGGTGTAGACTACCTGGTTGGGGACCGCGAGATGGTAGCAACCGATGGTTAGAGACCCTGAATGACATGGCTCAAAATCATTTGCAATTGCGCGGGTGCATACACTTTTGTGTTCTCCAAAGTTTTGATCTCTTTATTCCTCCTTGTCTCTTTTTTTTTCTCTTCCCAAATTTATTTCACTGGATTATACTCTTTGAATAACATCTTCAAACCCTAATCTTTCCGATTATTGCTTATACTCTTACCGCTTCTATCACTACGGGATTTGAATCGATAACTGCATCTCTGTATTAATGTGGTATGGCAACTTGAACTGATGTACGTACGTACGAAGTTCTACGTTGTTACTGACTGACTGACTGACCAGGATTTCTATCACTCCGATTTTGTAACACTGACAACTAAGTTTGTACATATTATAATTTCCTGTGTTGTATGGTCAAACATTTCTGGCATATTACTGTATGAATTTGGATTCATGGTTGAATAGACGTGCAAAAGATATTTAATTGGACACTGGGTTTTAGGGAGCTTGAGGGTCAATAAAAATTCTAATATCTTAAATTCACTTGGTGTTGTTTTACTTGTATCTTCCCCTTGTTATTTAGGATTGCAATTGATCAGTATCATATTAGCATATGTGTATACTGTGCGGATTGCCTCGATATAGCCTTAAGTCACAAGTTTTTTTAAAGCAAAGATGGACAGTGACCAGCAGTGGAATCCAGTTTGACGCGCGTTTCGTCTTATTTGGGACTCGTCAGCTGAATATACCTGCATCCCGGAGTTGATGTTCACTCCGGGACTCGAACCCAGTACCGTTCGCTTTAAACGCCATCTCGTTATCCACTTAACTACTGAGTTCTGATAGCCACCTGCTTGTGCAACGGGGTGAAGTTACCTGTCCTATTAACAATATAAGCGAACTAATCGATAATGAGACTAGAGAAAGAGAGAGAGAAACATCATACCACTGCATTCTCATAATTCCTGTTTGATGATACGGGTATCAATAGAAGTCAACTATCTGCTTTTTTTCATTCTGTTAATTGATTAACCTTTCCTTTTTAAAAGTTCAGTTAACATAGATATTTTCTCACTAGTTCTTTTGTTCCAATATACCTTTATTATCGTATTCATTTTATTTACTATATCGTTATTCACCAAGGTATCAAAACTTCATTTAATTTTTTTTGACACAAAGTTTTCCCCATGGACAGATATTAACTATATTTATAGAGTAGTAGTAGTAGTAGTAGTAGTAGTAGTATCATATCATGATAAGGGTTTCATCTATCCTCTTTGTTTTACCTTCTTTCTTAAATCATTTGACCTGGACATGTAAATTCTTTATTTTTTTTCGGTATTTACCTATTGTGTATAGTTGATTGACTAACAGACGGAAGAATTAATTGACATTTCAAAGGTTTATCTTCTATTGTTTTTTTTTCAGTTAACGGAGTATAAATAAACTGAAATCTATTTAATAGTTGAATTCATGAGTTTAATAAAGCTAAATTACCATGGAAAACCTGAAAGCACTGGATGGCCGTTTCGTCCTATTATGGGACTTCTCAGCAGTGCGCATCTACGATCCCCCTCGCGGGATTCGAATCCAGAACTTTCGATCTCGCGCGCGAATGCTCAACCTCTAGACTGCTGAATCGGCATCCAACAGTGCTAATGTCTAATTCCAATCAATCCACAAAATTGCTCCACCGTCCACTATTGTATTTAGTAAGTTACTATCTTCACAACAGACCCGGTTGAACTTGACTAGTCACGGCTTCTTAAAAATATTTACTATTATCTATTTCTCAAAATAACCATGAATGACATAATCTCACTAATAATTGTAATAATAGTAATAATAGTGACCTTAGATATACATCTAAGCAGACAATCGGACGATTGACCTTGTCTATCATAAATTCCCGACGTCTTAAGGTTGTTCTAATTAATGATCGTCTACAAATTGTTCAATGAGTTTTAAGCTATTTAAATATTTCTAAGAAATTTATACTCAGTGATTATCTACGCTATTTCCAATGATAAATACATATTTTGTTCAGTAAACTAATTATTTGCAACTACTACTTAATTGAATACAATGAATGAGACCGGTTCTATCAGTTTAACTTTGTTCTTTACTCTCGAATTAGAAGAAGTCCAAGGTTGTCTAGAAGATTTTTCTTTATAGAAACTTAAGAAGAATCAAAATCATATTCAAGTTTACTCAACTGTCTATTGGTTAATTCAATTACTATAAATTACAGAAATTCTATCGAACTGAGTAATCGTCAATTTGAAACTTTGTATTTCATATTAGCAATAATCTAGAACTGATGAAACTATACTATATAGACAGATCTAAGCAATTTTGAGAGTAACCTCACAATTAGTAAATCAGACGACCCCAAATGCTCTGGTATGGCCCGCGAGTGAGGAGAGTCAACACTCCCTCTCAAAATGTCCTAACATGACCACGTTCATACAACAATTGACAAGGAAGTCCTACTCACTGCCTTCTCGCGACATTACTGTTGTTTACAAAATTGAGAAAACAAAGAACGAATATCCGGCGCTTCAACTGGGTTGGTGAATATGGAGGATCCAACTAGGGAAGTTGGAAAACCCTCATTCCAAATCAATGGTGCACATGTGCTCCAGTATGTTGATGGAACAAATAGCGTGTAGACCTATTGTTGGTCACCGGCTACCATGGAACTGCATCTGCTTACATTGTTCCACTGCCTTGTGGATCAGACCTTTAGATCGGAGGCTCCGGGTGTGGCTTACCGAAGAAACCATCTGTTTCATTTTGGGCACCCAGACAGTATCCAAGCCCTCGCACAAATTGAATGATTTGTGGCGCATATGCATTTTTTAAAAACACGAAATATAATTAAAATCGTAATTTCCAACAACAAACTATTTACATTAACGTTTTGAATTCGCCATGATATGTAATATCGGCTAGTTGAATTTTCGATTGGCTACTCTAGGCCGTTGATATAGTACAGTTTTACCCTAGACCTTAAGGCCATTTATTTAGCGGATAGCATTTGTAATTTTCACTACAGATTTTATTTCAAGCATCTGTAGTAGTGTAGTGAACGAGAGCACCAGTGGTGACAACCAAATATCTTCTCTTAGATCTTCTTCCACCAGGCATTCCACTTTCGATTAGTTATACATACTACTTATATCTGTTGACATCAGTAGCACACACCACAATAGTAGTTATCCACAACTGTTTGCTATAAAGATTGTTGGTCAGTGTAGCACAGTTCTTATTATTATTATTAGAAGCTTTATTCAACATTATATTTTTGGTACAACATAGAATTCTCAGCATAAAGTATTTCAAAAAGTTTCCTTTTATTATATCTTGATCGATTGTGACGATCAATTTTGAATGATGACCAGTTAGATGTTAGGAGTTCGGTAATCCACATTTGATTAATGTTCATTCGTTTCAATGCATATTCCCAGCCACCATGATGTCTCTGATTGTACCTTTTTGTATCCCGTATAGCGAAAGGTCGTAAACTTTTCATAAACGCGCCTGAATAGATTGTGAGCACAATAGACATAATGATGTGCTAAAACAAACAACAAAACAGATAACTTGATGAAATATCTGGATCGGAGGAACAGGTAGCCCAGATATTTAACATTGTTGAATAAAAAAAAACATAAATATGATGAAAGCCAGGTCGTGAAACGAAATTTCTATTAAAAAATTACTCTCTAGTTAGTGACATTCACACATTAAATAAGTGGAAAAATTCACATGTCTTAGATACAACAATATACCTACTGAACATTCAAATGGTTATCAATAACCTTAGTAATCAACTTTTGTATTAAAAGCTACTATTGTTTCTTAAACTTGTTCATACTCTTCTCTTTTTTCTTTCTCTCTCTCTCGCTCTTTATTTATAGATGTGAAAGATGGTTTTGTTCTAGGCATCATCATCCAGAAGATCATAGATGTAATTTCAAATTCAAAACAATGGTAAATTGAATAATATTGAAATAGAATACTTTGTTACTCAGTTTCATTTGATATTTTCTATGAAATCTATTTATATTATTTAATTCGATTATCTTTTGATGTCTTGGATATGTGTGATGATGTTGATGATGATGATAACGACGCCTAAAGTAGATTATTTGTAGAGTATTATTTCTAAATGTCAATTTTTACTGTTCATTTCAGATTCATTAGTAATTAAGTTTTCTATGCTGTCGACAGAATCATCTCTTTGTCATATTCCGTACTATCGTACTGTCTTCATAATAGAATGAATGATTGTTGTTAAGTATAGTCGTCTTCTTTTTTAGGAATAGTTTTTTTTCTTATATCATTCTTTCTTCACTCATTCCTGGGTTGTTTTTGTTGTTGTTGCCTTATCTACATAGTTTTTATTCAAAGTCTAGTCGCTTTTTTTCTCTCCCTCTATATCTCTCTATGTTTTCATCGTTAAATCAAACTTAACAGTACATTTCAATACACATTCATATACACAAATACACATATAAACTATTCACATTATAATTGCTTAAGTGATTAAAATGTAATACTCAACTTCCAATCAATAGGTTGTAAGTTCGAACCCTTTCACTCTCTAGTTTACTTAGGTTTAAACAATTAGACTATACCTATAGTATCACTAATCCATACATAGAAATAATACAGTCCGAAGTCATATGAATCAAATCTATACTAGGTATTTCATTCCTATTAGCATTAAAATGTGTATGTGTGTGTGTGTGGGGGTATTATTATGTTGTTTTTATCACCGTACATTCTGATTCATGTGTTGTTATGTACTTTTTCTAAATGTTTTGTTTTTGTTGTTGTTGTTGCTAATGTCTTTACTACTCTGTTATACTTTGTTAATCAATTTTGTTTAGAATTTCTTTGATTGTGTTTTCTTTCTTTGTTTTTCTTTTTTTTCTACATTTTATGATGTTATAAGAAAAGAATTAAAAGTTATGATTATTTCCAATTTTGTACTGTATGGATTATGGAATGAATTCAATACCAAGAGGTCTTAATAAATAAAAAAAACTTCCATTTTACGGTTTATATTCCTATTGGATTGAAAAATTAATGAATTTTCATTAGAATTTCTAGGTTATCTATTACAACATTCACTTGGTGGTGGTGTTGTTGTTTACTTTTATCTTCCCATTGTTATTTAGGATTGCAATTGATCAGTTTCTTGTTCACATATGTGCATCCTATGTGGATTGCCTCGATTATAACCTTAAGTCACAAGCTTTTTTTAAAAAAGTCATTCAGTAACAACGTAGAACTTCGTACGTACGTACATCAGTTTGAGTTGCCATACCACATTAGCACACATATACAATTGTCGACTCAAACCCCATAGTAGTAAAAGTATAAGCAGTAATCGGAAAGATTAGGGTTTGGAGATGTTATTTAAAGAGTATAATCCAGTGAAATAAATTTGGGAAGAGAAAAAACGGGACATGAAGAATTCAGAAGATTAGAATTTGGGAGAACACAAAGAGTGGATGCACTTGTGCCATTGCAAACGATTTTGAGCCATGTCATTCAGGGTATCTAACCATCGGTTACTATCATCTCGCGGTCCCCAACCAGGTAGTCTACATCTACCAACACGACTCAGTTCACTTGTCAGTGACTTCATGGACTTGTGCCATGTTTTGGTCTGGCCGCCCCTAACTTTCTCCCAACCTACTCCTATACCATTGAACATCGCACGTCTAGGCAGTCGGTGGTTGGGCATACATAACACGTGTCCCAGCCATCTCAACTGATGAAGTTTCGCTACTTCAGTGAATTTGCCATCATTACCTAGTACCTGTTTTCCAACTACTGCGTTACTTACTCGATGGTCCCAAGATATAAGAGCAATGCTTCGAGGACACTTATGATCGAATACTAGTAACCTACAAACATTCTATAGTTTTACCAGCCATGTTTCACTGCCATAAAGTAGGACGGAACGAACTGCTGCGCAGTAAACACGTCCTTTGGTTGATAGACGGATATCTCGCCTACGCCATAAATGACGCCAGTTGGCAAAAGCTAGTCGGGTCTTCTGTATTCGTCCTGGGATTTTGTCACATACCAGACCACAAGGGCTGATGAAACTTCCAAGATAAGTGAAGCGGTCGACACGCTCAACTACTTCACTTCCTATCATTAGTTGGGGTCGATGCTTCTCAATTCTGAAGTAACATTTTCTATTTCGAGGGAGAGAATCGCATTCCGAACATGCTTGCATTGTTTCTTAGAGTGGTCAGAAGACTCTGCATTTTGTTAGCGTCCTCACCAAATAGAACTATGTCATCGGCATATTTAAAGTCAATAAGTGAACCTCCTGGTAGAAGCTTTTTTTAAGGCAAAAATGGATAGTGGCTAGCAGTGGAATCTAGGATATGCGTTCCGTCTTATTTTGGGATTCGTCAGCTGGATGTACCTTCATCTCAGAGTTAATGTTTATAGCAAGCTATGATGGTGTTTGAAGCAAACGGGACTGGGTTCGAGTTCCGGAGTGTACATGAACTATGGGATGCAGGTACATCCAGCTGACGAGTCCTAAATTTCTTGAAATATCTTCAAATAAATAATTGGGGAAATAGTGAAAAATTACTAATTACCTAACAAACAACCCAAATATATGTACGTCAAAGTAGAAGAAAACTATTATAAACCTTGAAAAAAGCCATAAGCTTCATAAAATAGCAACATACAATTATAAGTCTCATTACTTTTCTAGTGACAAACTCTTGATTTCAACATTCTATGAGCTCATTAGCTGATAGGTGAAATTATACTGCATCATTAACTTTGAGTGATGCTAAAAATAATGTTACCATTGAGAAATATTAGGAGATCTTCAATGTTCATTGAATCTTGTAAACTTTTGGTAAACTATCTGGACATATTAATAAATAATTGTTAGAGAACTGTCTATTTCTCCAGAAGTTATTTATTTGAACACATAAATAATAATGGAAAGGGGCACCGAATACATATTCGTCACATAAGTCACTTAATTTGTGTGTCGGCTGTGATACTACCCGGGTTCCCAAACCGAAGTAGGTGGTTTTCTTAGGGGATCACACCCGGAGCATTCGACCTAAAGGTCTGATCCATAAGGCAATGAAGAAACGTAAGGAGATGCAGTTCCATGGTAACCGGTGACCAACAATAAGTTCACACGCTATTTGTTCCATCAGGATACTGGAGCACATGTGCACCATTGATTTGGAATGAGGGTTTTCCAACTCCCCTAGATGGATCCTTCTTACCCACCAACCCAGTTGAAGCGCCGGATATTCGCTCTTTGTTTTCTCAATTTTGTAAACAACAGTAATGTCGCGAGAAGGCAGTGAGTAGGACTTCCTTGTCAATTGTTGTATGAACGTGGTCATGTTAGAGCATTTCGAGAGAGAGCTGAATCCTCCACCCTCGTCCATACCAGGGCATTTGAGAGCAATTATTTGTTTAATGATTAACAGAAAGATTCTGACTCGGCTACTTACGACGAGCCAGACGTGTTTTCTGTATAAACTTTTTCATTATGATAGTATCTTATTTCTTCCTTTTCACTAGTGTACAACATTTATACAAATATATGTTTAGTCTATTATTTGAAGGATATATATATCTTTTGATTGAATTAAGCAAACCTGACTACCTTTTAAATTTTGATATTCACAATTCCACATAGAGTTCCATCTAGGGGCAGCTGTTATATGTTTTGCGGTCATCCTATTTAGGTACTGGTACACGCGCTTCCTATACATAAGTCCAGCCTGTTGTATGAATGTGAAAATGGAATGAATGGAAAGCTGTAATTAGCAACCGAGTCAGTGTACAAAAATTATATATATATATATATATATATATATATATATATATATATATATATATATATATATATATTGGTTTTAGCAGACTGTTATTCGTCTTGGCTGTGTACAGAAATCAGTTTATGATAAAGCTGAAGTATGAAGAGGAAACTGAACGACTTTATATGATGTTGAGAGTACTTTACTATTTTCAGCTCTTTAGAAAGCAGGTGAACACAGTGAATAATTTTTAGTAAAGGACGAGAATAATCCAAAAACTTATTCCAGTAGTAAATTCGTCAATGTAATTTTGATATTCTTCTGTCTTAATATCCAAGTTATCCCGGTAGAATAGGTAAAATCATGTATTAGAGAGGAACTAGTCAATATGGAGGAAACGGCTGTTAGGTTTATGTGCAAAATTCAGGATGAATAACATATACTTAAGTCCTAACCCTGATATAAGCATTGATGCGGTATCATTATACATTATAGATGTGCTAATCAAATGTAAGCTATCATGTCTTGGATTTCTACACCAAATTTATTTGTCCATATAACTACAAATCATTTTTGGACTACTGATGTCAGTTCATGATGAAATCTGTAACTAAGATCATTATAATGACTTGGAAATCTATTTCCGTCCTCTTAAGGTTTCTAAAGAACATTTTATGCTATTACTCACTTTAATAATAGTAGATTAACCTGTAAAAGAGTTAAGTAGATTCATTAATTAATTAGAACCTACTTACACTTTGTGATGTTATTGTTTTTTCCCATAAACTATTCACTTACAAAAGCAGTTTTTGATTGTCTAAGCACTAACTGAATGTTTGTTGCTTTTGTTTTAAGTTGATCCCTATACTGCACTATTTCCAAAGAATTTTTCCATATGAATTCAAATCATATATGAGGCAAATACTCTTCCTTATAGACCTTTATGTCAATGAAGATAGTTATTATATTTGATCTGGATAATTAGTTCATCCCTTACTACTAACAGATAATAATCTTGGCATGATCTCTGACTATTGAAACCATTTCACTACTACTGTAGTGAGAATGAGGGTTAGACTTTGGTTTATTTTTGGTTAAAATCATGTAATCGATGAATGTTAGACCACCATTAAAAATCCGAAAGCACTGGACAACCGTTTCGTCCTCGCATGGGACTCCTCAGCAGCGTGCATCCACGATCCCACAAACCGGAATCAAACCCATGACCTTCGGTCTCGCACACGAACACTTAACCTGTAGACTACTGAGTTGCCGTCCATGAAATTGTGCTATCATCCTCAATTGTCTGAGATAGATACTTGTTTTCACCTGATACGGATTAATTCCTCTCGTCACGGCTTTTCACTACAACTCGGAGAATTACTTCACGAAACTAGTCAGTAGTGAGCAATGGTAATTATCAGTATGGAGTTGTAGAGATTGTTAAGTGGTCTAACACTAATCCATTCATACCACACCACCTCACATCAGGTACCCTAACTTTAGTTTTTATAAGCCAATCTCAATCATGAGCCTTTACCTTGAACTCACTTTGTCAAATAGAATCAGTTCGCCCAAAAAATGCTTCAGTTTTACAAATCAAGGCTGTCAGTCATCAGCAATGTAGAACTTCGTACGTACGTACATCATTCCGAGTTGCCATACCACAAATCAAGGCTATTTAGTGGTGACTGAAAACATGAAATAAACAGTTAGTGAAACTATAATTTATGGACTACATTTGAACAGCGATAGAGTGATCTTGAGATTGTCCACCCAATAACTAGTACCAAATAAAGGTTATAAACCAATATGAGGAATAAGTATTATAATTTTCAATTGATGGTTAAGGTTAGAAATTAGATTTAGGGTTTTCATCACGAACTAACATCAACTATAATGCCAAAACTCTATTTAGTCAAATGGATAAATGAATTTCGTGCCAAAATCCGAGATCTATTATCTTATACCTGATTGGTTCGTTCACAAATTATAGTCTTGCCAAAAAGTTCATATGACTATGATCCAGATTATCTGACAGATTAAATAAATACTCTTCAAGAATATAAACCGATTAATGTTGTAATCATTTTGATACAATTCATAATCTGTTTGTCCAAAATTCTGTATCTTCAAGGTCAATAGCATGATAATGACATCATACCAACCCGATTATAATGAAAACTGAGCTGATAATCCATTGAGTAGATGTACTACTATACAAGTGTAGAGATTATTTATTAGTAATAAATCAATACTTTTTAATATAAATGTATAGGCTATTTTCTCAGACAACTGTTATCAGTCTGATCTGTTCGGATAAATACATGTCGGTTACAAATTGATGTATGTCCTAGTGGAGGGTAAACTATGGGTATCTTCTGAGAACTATTAATGGACTAATAATCTATCTATATATATTCTTATTGTATAACTACTCAGTAATTAGATAGTGTATATCTATA